ACTCCTCTAAAGACAGAAATGTCCTCGAAAACTCTACTCTGCGGTCAAGAGCCTGTTATACTTGCCTAATGTTGATGTATCTGCATTACAGTGCACAGGGCTACACGTAATGCAAGTTTTCTCAATACACTGTGACATTGTGACAAGACAACGGCGAAAGAAGATTTTTTTAGTTTTCCCTGCACCCGTCCCACGGATAATCTTAGCAATTTTTGCATGCAGATGAGCAGATCTATGAGTTGGTTAGCCAAGAAGAAATTGCAGGAGGTTGAGAGATGGATAGATAAAAAGGTGTTAGCATTTCATTCATTCTTCAATGAATTATTAATTAATTTCTCGCTTGATTAGGATTTTTAGTTTTTGTTCATATTTTGATGATTAGGCTGGCCTTGATAATAATATGTTCATCAGATAATCTATCTATACTCTATATTAAAGTAGAACCTACTCTTAATGAAATATTCTCTCTCCTAATTGATAGTCTAACAGAAGAGAATTTTGATTAATTTTTAAGTTAATAGCGTTAAATTTGTAATTGCATAGATTTATAAGTGGACCACAACTTAAAACCTATAATTGTAATTTCAAATTTAACAAATGGGCTGCAGTCTAGAAACCCATTATTTATTAATCAGTGAGCTGCAATCTTGAAGCCCATGGGCCAAATGGCTAGTAGTAAATACAGCCAATCCTGTATTGCAGATACCAGTTGGCCGGATTGATTAAGAATTGTGTTTACATATACTGTTTCGGATTAGGACTAAAATTCTATTATGTTTGGGATTCAGTGTTGGAAGTTGACGGGAATTCAAGTTGTAGTTGAATAAGGAAACCGAACAAGTTAGAGGGAATTCAATAACTACTGTTTCATTGGACGAACACCATCATCTGCAGTCTCCTATATTTCTTGCAATGGATGAGATAGACGTGCTTGATGAATCTCGTGATTTGGAGTCTGCTATAAAGAGTTTGAATGAACTTTGCTTAGGTTCTGTTAAGAGAGATCGAATCTGCTGCAGTTAAAACTACTGATCAACCATCACAAGGTATTGAAAACAACGGTGTGAATTTGCCAGTTAGTGATCTTCCAAAGAATGGTGCCGAGTGGGTTGAGTTGTTGGTGAATGAAATGCAAAACTGTAATTTGCCAGTTAGTGATCTTCCAAAGAATAGTACCATCAAATGGTTATACAAATCCCTTATTTTGAATTATGCAAACAACAACTGAACACTAACCGCTAACATACACCAACATAAATCATTACTTACCACTAACCATGTTACATCACTACTTAATTGACTGACTACTCAAGAACAAGTCATTTTGTAGGTCAAAAGCCTTGTTAGACAGTAGAATTTTATTTAGGATATTTTGAGATGAATCTCTTGTTGAACAAAGACATAAATTAA